TAGAGTAAATACAGACATACCCTCGAAAAGCGCTTTTAGTCTCTATGACCTACAAAAACCCGGTTTACCGAGCATTCGTTTTTATGACGTTATGATGCTAGCCCGGTATACCGGCATACGATGCGATAGGGTTAAGAGCCTAACCCGCAAATATGCGGGGCCGCGAATGGGGAACCGCGAACAGGTGAGGGTATACTGTTTATAAAAAAATCCAGTTTTTTTGTATTTCCCTTGATGTTCAACATATTTATTTGTAGTTAAAAAAAACTGAACTCCAGTCTAAAGTTTTCTTTTTCTTCAAGACAGCTTCTAAAACTTTTTTTTCATCAAACATTTTTAGTTTGGCTGATACAAAAGCACTAGTTGTGTCTTTTGAGTAAAATATACAATAATCTTAAATACATGCATAACACTGAATTATTCCCTGTACTTGATGTTTTCAATTTACTGATATATCCCGGCCTTCAAGTTAATACAAACTGATATCACTGGGAAATGAAAATATTTAAAACCATATACCAACTCCATGATTATCAAGTTAAAATCTGTGCTCGCATCCATCAAGTTATTGACTAATTATAAAAAGCAGATTTTTTTAAAATAGTGATTCATTTAATTGTTTATCAAAATAATGCAAAACAACTACACACAATGTTTATTAAACCATAAATTAATACAAAATTAATTGCTATGGTACTATTATTGAAGTAATGACTTTTTATGTTAATCTGGAGTTAAATTTTAAGCAGGAATTGAGTGTTTGCATTTATGACTACTGTAAATTCTGGGGTATGATATTTATACATTCATTACCAGTTTTAAAGCTGCAGTTGCACTATCATTACATAAATTTATTACAAAATGATTTAGTCTGAAACATACTTTCATAATTCCAAGTGGAAAAATAAAAATAGTTTTATGGATGGAGTGATTATTGTTGTAAGCAAAGACTGTTGTACTTGGTAAATGGATTAATAATTCACTAATTATTTTTGTAATGAAAATATGTTGTAATTAGAACATTTTCGATACCATTTCTACTAATTTATTGTAACGGAAGTGGCAGAAAATTTCTACTTCATGAAAATAATTAAAACTGCTTAAACCATTTATGTACAAAATTATTAGTTTCACATGTAAAAAGTTCTTTAGTCTTTCATTTCATCTGTTTAGATACTATTGTATAGAACAGTACAAAAAAATTGTACTTTATATTTTAAAGTTCATTCAAAAGAATTCATCATTCCTATTGTATAATAAACACAAGTCAAATTTTGGCATTTATAGTTCTACAAATCTTGATTTATAGCTGTACGTTATAAAGCTGATAAATGTATTCTTTTTTTTTCTCTCTCTCTCATTTATTCTTAAAGTTTTTCTGAAAGACAATATGTATTACCTTCATTGGACTGTATTCTTGAAATATAAATGTATGTATGCTCACATAAATCATAAAACTTCTAAAAACCATAAACATTTATTTTCACTTACTTTTGTGCTATCAAAATTTGCAAATCCCATCATTTTCATCATTTCTTTTTCATCTTCAGTTTTTCCTTCAAGATCCTTTTCTAATTCAAGATCAAATAAGAAGTAGTAATAATGTAAAGAATATGAATTAGTCACTTGGAGATTTAAAAGCTACTCCTTTAAAATTACAAAATAGTTTTATGCAAGGTACAAGTAATATTTTCTTTTGGTTATTATTATTATTACATGAGTAGAAAAATTAACTGATTAAAAATATTTTAAAATTAACAATATTTCTTAAAGCCCTTCCAGAGGTTTCATTCTCCTTAAATATTGTATTCATCTATTGGTAGTTATCAGTGTTCCTATTGAAAACTTGTAAGTTATACAAAACGAAAATAAAATAAATTACTAACCTAGCAAGAATTGTAAATTTTTTTGCAAGCTTTTTATAATGGCATATTTTTATACTTTGCATGGAAAAAACTCCTTAATGTGAACATATCACTTTCTATATGTATGAAAAATATACTTTTAGTTCATGTGTGTGTGTGTCAAACAACAATAATTTTAACTCTCATTCAATCACTAAAAAGTGCAAATTTATAGTTCATTTAAATAACTTCCCAGCTTCTTGCAATAAAAATAATGTTTCCTGGTAAAAAAAAACATTTATTGCAAAATTATTTTTAATTTGCATGCATACACATAAAACTTGCCTGTTTATGAAGTGAACTTGACTAGAGAACATTTATTTACTTCTTTCTCAAACAATCGAAACTGAATACTTGTATTTAAATTTTGTAATATTAAAAACAATAGAATTTTGCTAACTTCATTAACTTTTACCATTTGTAAATAACTGAAAAGCCAGAAATATCTTTGCAATGCTACTGATGTGTATAAAACTTAAAATACTAGTGAAAACTCCTTTCTCAAACCCATACTCTGACCAAGTAATTATAAATATATTTTAATCATTCAGATGTATGAAAGATAAATTAAGTGCTTTAAAAGTACTAATTTGGGGCATCAGATCCCCTGGTATGGAGAGTGATTTAACAACCAAACAAAAATGAAGTTACAGCACCTTTATTTATTAATTATAGAAATAATATGAAAGTAACATCATTTTCAATTATTTTACCAATACTTGTTAGTTTCTTTACATATTTTACTCAGTTTCTTCCTAAAAAGCAACAATAAAGTAGGCAACTAGATAGATTAATAAGCAGTGGTTTTGAAATAAGCCTTGTAGCTATTGTCACTTATGCATACAAATATAACTGAAAAACAACAACTTTTTTTTCTTTTATTCAAACTTATTTTGTACCTAAAATTGCAAAAAAAACAAAAAAATGCAGACCGGCAAAATTTCACTCTCAAGCATAAAAGTGTACATGTTTTAAGTGGCAATATATCCACAATAAATGAATGTTGCATAATTTTTAGTTTAATTCTTTTTAAAGAAGTATGCTGCTAGAGAAATTGAAAACCAAGCACACTGGTCATCTTTAAAATATCTGTTCTTTAGCAACATAAAGAATATAACAAAGAGATTTTAAAAGATAAACCAATACAAAATACTGATTGAAAGGACAAGGGTCTATAAGATAGTAATTTTGTCCAATCTTCAAATTTCTTTATTCACATATAGTGTTCAACTTAACCTACAAATAATGAAAAACCATAAAAATTATCAGCAACACACTTAGTTTTGACCACAACTCAAAACTTACATATCGTGCACATTAAGTGTTCACATTTTATCTTCAGTCATTGTAAGTCCATGTTCATTGTGCAGTTTGAGTCTCAGGAAATTTATCACTGATGCTACATGTGCAGAGCCTTCTTGCACATGTACAGCAAAGGCAATACCATGCTAGTATAGAGGAGTCATTCTGACTGTCATGTTAAATCCACAGATAGTACACCTTACCTAAACCAGTCTTCAGATGACTAAAGAAAGCCCAAAACTTGCAATGCCTGCTTAGATTTTTTGTACACCAACCTCTTTTGTGCTAAACCTTCAGACTCTATACTCTGTTCAAGTGTTTGGATTGTTTCATAAGTTTGAGCATTACTGTGCAACAGAAGAATCAACTTATGTGTTTTGTATGAAAACAGGCATACATCAGTTGCAAAGAGTACTGACAATTCTCACATAATTGCCTATCAAAAGAATTTGCAAATTGGTAAATATGTCCAATAGCTTCCAATACTTTATGCAACTATTTTAGTTCTAACTTCTTACATACTTTTGTGACAAGTCTCGGAAGTGGTGTAACCAGCATCCTACAGAGGTGTCCTTTCTTTCAGAGAAAGAATGACAACTGGCTTTTCACACCCATTTTGTGAAGATCAGGTGAAATAGACTTTGACAGGTCTCACAAACTAACCGATGGTGAACATTTTAATCTGATTGCATCGATGAGTCTGGGTTTGATGACCTGTCTTCCTGGATTACATCTTTAAGAAATTCCTATTCAAGATATGTATGAATGTGTTTGGTGGCTCTCACCAACTTTGTACTTAGTTATTCCCAAATCCTCTACCACAATAGCCACATTATGTTGTTATAGACAGGTGCAAGTGTTTTCAACATAATTTGAGAATATATGATGACACATTCGGTATGATTATTTTGCCCTTCAGCAAGATATGAACCAAAGAATGACACATTGTACTCATCAGTGGATAGAACCAACCATTCACTGGTTTGACTAATGTTCATGGTTTGTGCATACTGTAACTATGCCTGTGGAGTGCATAATTTACACTTCTCTGTACACATATTCCATTTAAAACTAGAATTGCATTGTTGCTCCCTCTTTTCAGAACATCTGTTAAAAGAAGGGTATGGTTTAATATTAATTCTTGATGGCTGATATGTTTGAACCTAAAATAGAGAAAAATGAGATCTCTCACCAAATCAGAAAGAGCCAAGTGTACTGCTCTCTCTACAGTAAAAGTATTGTCCAAGCTCAGAATAATACAAAGCATTTTGTGGGTTAACCCAGTACACAAATTAGTAAAGTGAACCACCAAAGATGTTCATACATATCTTACATGGGTATTCCTCAAAGATTAAATCCTGTAAAATAGGTCATTAAACTCAGATTTGGTCAGTCTAGTTATGTCACCATCAGTTAGCCTGTAAAAATTACCAAGGTCTATTTCCACCTGATCTTTAAACTGCTGCATGCGTGTTCTCCAAAAGATATAACACACCTATTATTTTACAACTGGTGTGGCAAAAGTCAGATACAAACTACTTTCTATCCTGGTGGCAGTTAAAACACTGGGCTCCAGCATGATGACAATACCATGTATAACAAATACTTGGGTTTGTGCTTCAAATAACTTGAGTTGACTGCATACATTTAGGGCATATAAAATATTTTTCATGCCTGTTTCTCACCGACCTGACATTCAGTTTTAAATACTTAAGGCTTGTACAATTGAGTTTCCTCAAAAATACACCAGTTCCACTAGTGAAGCATGGAGAACAAGTGTGTAGCTTCAATCACTTTTAACTGCAAATACACTTGCACAACATTTGTAATAATAGTAATGTTTATAGCATTTGGCAGAACTTTTCTTCTCTCTAAAGGTAACTTCTTAATTCATTATTACATGGTTCTGTCACAGTATACATTCAGGATAACTCACTAATATTGCATCAGTGTTTTATAATCAACTTGATGAGTAGCAAGATAAAAAATTATTGGTTCTATAACTATAAAATTTCCAAATTTCATTGGATAAGTAATTTCTCGCAAGTAAGCATGCAACTGGCTCTACTAAACAAGTTCTGATTTCACTAGCTGTTACATGTTAGGTGTATGTAAGATTAGTACAGACTTGTTCATTGGTTAACATTTGAACATCATACAGTTGCGTCACAAAATTAGAAACTTAAACAGTTTGATATGTGCCAAAATACATATTTGTACACTATCATAAACAAGTTTTTCTTATGACAGTTACCAGCACCACCTTTAAAACCAATATCCTTTAACTTATATTACATCTGAGTAATGAACAACATACTGATGACTGAAGCTGTTTATAGATGACTTCACATTAGAAAATGGATGCTTGCTTGCCTGTTTTTTGTTAAACACAAAGCTACACAGTGGGTTATCTGTGCCCTCAGACTTACCACTAAGCTACATGGGGACAAAAATGAAAGCAAAATAAAGAAATATGAATTTAAACTGAGCAAAACTGGAGAAGTGGGGGCTACATGGATTGGATACACATAAAAAGATATGGATTTGGCAACAGAAAAGTTCATTTCCGCAAATATGCCCTATTCTAACTTGATTACAGGGAGAAACAACTTTCACAGAAAATATTTTTGTTTAACCACAACTTGTAAGCAAAAATCCCACCTTATAATAAGGAGGTAGTAAAGGGTTAAAATACTTAAAAATAAATTTAAAAGTTCATGAAAATAATCTAATTTCACTTTTATACAGTTTCAACAATGTTCAAGTCTTTGTTTCGTAACCTTACATTTTATAATTATTTTACTGGAGACATTTTACCTGTTACGGCAGGTCGCTCTAGAAGAAAGTGTGGAACAGCTCCTTGTTCATGTGCCTTTGTTCTACAAATACATAATACACACTGAACTTTCTGCTTATATGTCTATTGTAATAACAAGTTGATATTGCTCTAAAGCCCTTTTTTTTTTTATGTGCTGATATCAACCAGTCATTTAAACAAAGTTAACAAACTAATAAATACAGCTTGAATGTTTTATATAAATAGCAAAGTTGCTATTAGTTGTATAAAATGTTAATATAACTTATACTGACTTATGCACTTACACTTATTTTAAATATTTTAAAATATATAGAAAAACAAGAGAAAAATTATACTAATATTTATCTTCTGATTTGTCATTTTTTTAAACAACATTACAATGAATTTACTCACCCTAATGATTTAAACAGCAAGAAAACAGAAAATTTATCAAACAGATATTTTAATTTTAATATTTTTTATGTTTAAAAAAATATACTACAAACAAAAAATCTAAAATCACAAAAATGAATAAAACCTCAAAATTCACCCTGAGGACTGGGGAGATCTCCTCCGTGGCGATCTTGATAAAGACCTCGATCTTCGTCTGGGTGATCTACAATGAGTTTATAAGAGATTTGAAAATATTTAACTTACAAAAATCTAAGCTAAATCTCTTTTTTTTTTACCTAATGTCAAAAGAGTAAATACTATTAAAATGAATATTTCAAACCACTATACATCAGAATTGCCACATCCACCAGTATGCAATGTTTAGTTGTATAATTATATGTGGAATATTTTCTAGTTAACTATTCATATATAAAATATCAAATGCCAATTATAACCACATATTTAAGGATGGATGGAGCATGTCCTTCCAGTGTTAAGTACTAATTGAATTCCTTTTGAACTTTAGAAATTTCATTTCAGATATACAATTCTCCTAGATGGACAATGAATAAAATTTTTACCCTAGAAAGTAAGAGGTCTGAGAGTGAATAACCATCTCAAGTATAGGAAAATGGATAATTTCATCATGGTGTTTCACAAATCAACCTTAGTACATAGAGAAACTGAAAACATTGACACTGTGTTGAACTAACAGCACAAATTCCAACATAAAAACACCTTGCACAACCTCAAAATCATAAAGATTGAAATAGTAATACTGAATGCAAGTACAGTCTTACACTGGCAATAAAAAAATTAGCATAACAAAACAAGATACACATAACAATAGAGGACATTCGTACAATGAAATAAATAACTGTAAAGTGAAGAGGACAACAAACAAGCTAATTCTTGGCATATCCAAAATAACTAGCAAAAAAAATAGTACATATATATAAGGAGAACAAGTATCCATGAGCATAAGTACATATATGGACTCTTACTGTTTGTACAAAGGACTGCACAGACTACACAAATGTTCAAGCATAAGAGTTGTTGTGATAAGGACATAAAACATAAGATACCATGAGAAGAACTTAGAATAGCAAGTCATTAAAGTGTTAGCACATTGCTCATACAAGATACAGCTACATATCTGAAATTGGTATTTATCATTAAGTTGAAAAATAAGTATCAACATTTGTAATGTCAGCAGATATTTTATGTTGCAATATCAATTAAATTGAAGGTTCAACTACTCTATTTGTTTTATTAAACATTATTAAAAGAAATTCATCCCTTTTTTTAACAAGCTAAAGTCAAATGTAAATATTGTCTGGTAAAAACTGAGTAAATAATGAAAATAAGCATAGGCTAAATTGAGACAGAAGCAGCTTTAATTAAACATAAAATTCTATCCTTTCACATAAGTTACAGATTTTATTCCATAAAAACATTTCATTCTTTCTCATCAGTTCGATACAATACTTTAATTTTTCTCACCAGATAAGTATTTTATTAAACACAAATATTTTATTCTTTCTTACTATCTTCATTCTTTATAACAATTTTCTTTCTCACAAACAACAGAATGCATTCCACATTATCTTCTTATTCTTTCTTACAATCTCCAGTTTTCATTCCACACAAACATTTTGTTCTTTCTTACCACCTCCAATTTCATTACACACAAATATTTTATTACTTCTCATCAACTAGACCTCTGATTACACACACAAACATTTCACTCTTACTAACCATCTGTAGCTACTTATTACACAAAAATATAATTCTTTCTTATCAAATTCAGTTTTTATGAACAAACATTGTTATTTTTTGCTATCTCCAGCTTTTAATATACACAAATAATTGATCTTTTCTTATCAGCTACATCTTTCATTGCATAAATAAATATTTCAATATTTCTTCCAGATCAATTTTATCATAAATACATATTTTAATTTTTCTAAACAACTAAAGCTTTTAAAAACAAACAATTCATTTCAATTGCACTTTTAACCCTCAATTTACTGAATTTTTTATACCATTCACTACCAATGTGTCCAAACAGACATCATATATTTATACGTGAGAAATTATAATGTTTATAGTTTCCAAGTACTTTTATTTTTATATATTGATCAGTAGGCATGTTAATGCAAAAAATTAGCATCTCAGCAACAAAACCAAACTTGTTCCATGGTCACAGGACACATACAAATTTGGAAGGGATGCAATAATAAGGAAGATTTATCTTAATTCTTCCAGACTGGGAGTATGTCACTGCTATTTCCTTGAATGTTTTCCTTCTGCTAGTGGAAATACTTAACCAAATTGCATGAAACTTAAAACCAATTTACTAATTATTTAGAATATTATCTAATTTCAGCTTAGTTTTCTATCAATTCTTATGTTGTGGAATGTCCAAAATTTGGTTGCGAGTCATTGTTTCAAAAATATTAAGAATACTTCCTTTCATTTTAGAATTCCTTTTTTTTTAAATATTGATTAAAAGTTCTATATTCATATATTACTCAGCTGTTATTCTGACCAATTTACATGGGATTTGGTACAAAGAAACTTTTCTACATATTGAAAAACAAAAATGATGGCCTTACCCATTTCTAGTAACTACAGGGTGATCAAGATGCCTCAAAAAGCATAATTTTTTTTTTTTTTGACAATTACTCCACCATATTTTGACCAATTTACATGAGATTTAATAAAAGGTACTTTTTTTCCACGTCCTAAAAAGAGATCTTGACAATTTTGGACCAGCAAGGAAAGCACAATTTGGGGTTTTCGTGAACTATTCATGTATATGTCAACCAACTTAAATAGAATTCTGTAAAAAGATACCTTCTTGTGGGTCCCAAGCAGTGATATAGACAGTTTGATATTTTTGTGCTTTTCATGATTTTCATAAAGTCAAAATTGGCCATGTTGGGAATGCGTAATGGAGACATGTTGCATTTGCCTAAGTATGTTGGCCTCTTTAATAACTATTACTTATTCTCAGATGCTACAGCTTTTATTACATGTATTCTATTGTTTTTGAATAGCTAGAATTTTCCTTACACACACAGTCATATAACCTCCACCTGAAACTGTCTTAGGTTCATTCTGTGGTAAGACTTTACAAGCAAATGGTACTTTATAGCAAATAAGTTATATGAAGTTATCCATCTTGAATAGGCTTTGCACTTACAAGGCTCTAACTCAAAGCAGATAACATTAATTGTCACTGTTGTGACTAATATAGAAATCAGGAATTCACTTTCTATCAACTCACCTACTGTGTCGTCTGTACGGTGATCTGCTACGATATCTCTCTCTCTCTGAAATAAAAATAAATTCCAAGTGAATAAGATTATTATGAGATTTAGACTTTTAGAATTAACACATATACTTTACTCACATTTATCTCTTAGCAAATATTTAATTACAAATGAACAAATACACAGAACAGTAATATGTATTTAACTGAATAGAGTTGTTTAAATATTTGTTTAACAACAAGTAAAAGCTTGGAATGGTCTATTCTTTCAATGGGATGTGTCTGTGAGCCAGATTAGTTTTGGAGAATTCCACTCCTTATCAGTGACCCTGGACACTACCACCAATGAAATATCAGACCAAACCAAGCCTTTATAGTATTATGTATTTATTTTAAAAACCTTTAAGTCTTCTGTCTCTAGTTCTATCCCGATCTCTGCCTCTTTCCCTATCACGTTCTCTATCTGCCTCTCTGTCCCAGGATCTAGACCTGCTTCGCCGACGCTCTGTAGCATTTAAAAAAAGGGTACATATATTAAAAATTCTGTGCACAAACTTACATAACCCTACTGCAGATTGACAATGCTTCTTGCATTTTTGATGAAGTGACACTGATTTGAATATTTTCAAAATTTTATTGGGCATCATAAGTTTAAATTTTTAACAAATTTACAATTTCACCAATTTTGTACAAAAAAACATTATTAATTAATTAAATGCTACAAGATATATTAGTAAACCAATTAAACAGATTAGTCTGTAAGAAAGTTTTAACTGAACTTTCACATAATTAAACTGTATTTAGATAATGTTTTCCATAAACAAAAAAGCCCTGGAAAATATAAGACAAATTAAAATGGATTAAATAACTTAAAAAATGAAAAATGTCAATATACATGTAAATAGAAAAAAATAAACTTAATTTATTAATAGTCTGACCAAAGGAAAGTATATGAAGGATTTAAGTAACACATCTAAAATAGCAGACCATACTTAAAATTTAACACAGACATGTAACAATTTGTGTGTGTGTGTGTAAAGATATAGAGGCATGCTTAAAACTAGGAGTGAAATTAAAATTAAGGTATGTAATTATCAAAATGCACAAACATATTATAAATGAGCATTTAGTCTAAATTCATCATCCACAAAGATATTAAACCATAGAATTACTGAAATGGTCCACATACAATGTTTCTAAACTATTTATAAACCAAATTGCTTGTGTGTATTCATCCTTTGTTGTTTATAAGGTCCTTAATAAAATGTGTAAAAAACACACAAAAAATGTGAACAAAGTTAGTTAATTAGAGAGAAGAGTGGCTGGATGGAAGAAAGCAGAGGGTTGTTATAAATGGGGTTCAGTCAAATTGGATTAATGTCAAGTGAGGTACCTCAGGGTTCAGTCTTAGGACCTTTGCTCTTTTTTGTTTCCATCAATTACACAGATGAAGGAATGGTCATTAAATAAGTTTGTTGATGATATTAAGGTCTTGGGTGTTGCTGGTTGTGTGGAGGATGCTGCTGCTTTACAAATGGATTTAGATCATTTAGTGAGATGGGCAAATAAATGACAGATGGGTTTTAATTATAATAAATGTAAGATGATGTATGTGGGTTATCATAATAACTTGGATGGGAATGACCTTAACAGAGTCATAAAAGAAAGGGATCTTGGTGTAGTGGTCTCTTAAGCCATCCAAGCAGCATGCTGTTACTATTGGTAGGGTAAATAGGATTTTAGGTTGTATCTAGAGAAATATTTAATTCAAGTCTAAAGTGGATATAATGTCATTGTATAGGTCATTGGTTAGGCCACATTTGGAGTATTGTGTTGAGTCTTGGACTCCTAACCTTAGGAAGTACATTGAATTGTTGGAAAGGGTTCAAGAGAAGGATCACTACAATGATACCTAGGATGGAAAGGTTGTTATACGAGGACAAGCTAAAATCTTTGAAATTATTTTCTCTTGAAAAAAGTAGAGTAAGAGGGGATCTGACTGAGGTTTTTAAGATTGTTAAGGGAATTGATAGTGTTGATGCATCATCTTTTTTCATATTTAATGGTGAGAATGGTAAGACTAGGGGATAGAAATATAACTTTTGGCAGGGTATGAATCACCTTCATCTAAGACAGTTTTATTTTTCTGACAGGGTGGTTGACCTTTGGAACAGGTTGCCTTCAAGTGTTGTGGATGCAGTAAATTTAAGTGAGTTTAAGAGAAAGCTTAGTAACTATATGAATAATCAGGGCTGGCTTTGAGGTTTTTTAATCTTTTTTTTATTTTATTCAAAAGTTTTAGTTTAGTTTGGAGGATGAGACAATAGGTCCCTAACTATTATGTTATCTTATAATATTGTAATTATTCCTACTAATTACTGCTTGGGCCCTTTATGTATTTTACAAAGAAAATGCATGATTTCTCCAAATTCTTTTTTGATCAATTCTTTACAGAGAGAGTTGTAACAGGCAGAAAAAAAAATTACATTACTCAATATGATGTAATATGTGGACTCCACCAGTAGTTAATGGTATATAAAAAAGGGTAATTTAAAGGCTAAGAACCAAACTATTTAAAACATAGAACTTTTCACATTTGAACTTTATTTTAAAATAAAAGATAAACCACAAAGAATACACACTAGCAGTACATACTATACCATTAGGTAAACAATTCTAAATGAGAAAAAATTCTACCTAAATATAAGACATTTGATAAATCTAATTCATCATTATCAAATGTATCAGGACAGATATCAAAAACACCATCTTAAAACTTACAACCCATATTCATTAACATATTTGTAAAGAATTTTTCTACATTGTAGCTTTAAAGTGCCAGAAAAGTAGTAAAATATTCATCATTAGTTTGGTCTTTTAATTTAAATACTGCTAATGAATAAATCTTTGAAGCATACTTACCTCTTCTTGAAGGTGATCGTGAATGACTTCTGCCCATAATAATGTATCTTGGAAATATAAAATTCTCTCACTCTGGAAACATATAAACACAAAACTCACGTAGTTGCAAACCCTTGATTTTCTCTTACATTTATACATACACATATATATACTTCAAAAAATTAAGGGACAAGAATTTATTGTTAAAACTGTTTTTTTGACCAAAAATAAGTAAATCTGAGTATGTTTCAGGTACATTACATATTCAGTCATCACAGTTACTGAACCCCTTTAACTAACTATATATTTCATTCTCCCAACAAGGCACATAGAATGTGCATAAAATTATTGCAAAATGCATTCAAATATAACTACAAAACTTTTAACCCTTTATTCCTAAAGTTACGAATGGGTCTGTGTGTGATCTCCATAGCTCCAAGAGGAAAGATCCTAGAAAACCTCGAATTTTTCACCTATACTACCTGGACCCTGAAAGTGTGCACATGTGCATCCTTTTAATGAGGCAAGCTAGCGAAACACCACATAGAAAAACAGTGGTTCCTTTTATAAAAACTTCTAATATATACAGAAAAGCCAGCGTATTTTGGTAACAATGTGTTCCAACAATGGCTTTTATGTCATGTTGCTTAGGAACAAAAGTATAACCTAATACTGTTGTTAGTCTATGTACTGAAAGTATGAAATGAAGTGTAGAATCTACAAAAGTGAAAAAATATTAGTTGATTTCTTAATTTAGAGTCTCTGTTGATTAGAGAGGTTTGTTTTTTATTAAAAACTTTGGTGATATAACAGAAAATACATTAATTCAGAAATGAGTTAAGTGCAAAATTGGATTGATATTTTTACTTTCATGATAAATTTTATGCACTTGGCTCTAGGCATGATTATCTCGTACTGCTTTTACTTTAGGCTTATTTATTAATTTATTTAGTTCATTTCAAATTCACTACACTTACAAGGTTTCATTGCAAACCCCTTCACTGCCCCCTGTCACTAAAATTGTAATTGGCAGACATTAATTGAACGGTAAAAAATTGTAATAGATTCTGATAAAATGTTATACAAATTTGTGATATCAAATATAAATGTGAAATATTTAATGCAATGATAAAGTTATTTAATAATAAATAATTCTTAATTTGCTGTACATTCTTCACAACTTTTTTGTTTCTGGGAAATAAAAATGTTTAAAATATTTTTGACTGTTCTTCTGTGGTAAAAATAGGTTCAGAATACACACGCTGACATAGTCATGTAGAATATATCAACTTAATAACCTGAACAAAGCCGAGTACTTTTGCTAACGAACAAATACTTGTTTATAAACTTTAGTTTAAACTGCTGTACACATCCATATGTAATGAACATATCACAGTACAATACCATTCAAAGTCAACATACACATTCCTTCTTGTTATATGTATGACCAGATAACCAGTTCAACAAGTGTTGAATAGCTTGAACAATGTTAAATGCTTAATATTACACAGATGTTAATTACTGTAAATATTAACTGTAATTTTAAATGAAAAAACTGTATAAGTATGTTTGAGAAAGCATGATGCATATAATAATAACTAATTAGCAACATAAAATGTTCTGTAAATGTATTTGCTTCAACGTGCCAATGTCCAACCCTGAAGTAAAACACTATAAATAACAAAGCTACTGGTTTCTTATATATCATAAAAGAGTCTATCTTAAATTCTCACATAATTCAGTGAAAGTTTTGAACAGCAAAATTTCAAGAACACTTTCAGATCATGAGGTGTAAACATATGTCTACATATTACCCACGTAAGGTCCTGCAGTATAGACTCTTACATTTTATTTTTATCATTAGGATATTCACATGCCTCAGAGTCTAACATCTTTGCTTTCCTCTTTTACTGTCCATTATTGGTGGAATGACATACACTTTCATATGTTATGTTGATTACAGTGCCAAACAAATTCTTGGTATCTAAACAGACAATCAACTCTTATAAAATACAAATTTGAATTAGATTTTTTTTAAATATATTATACTCAAATCTTTGTTGCCTTTCATTTTGAAGGGTGGAGGTGATGAGGGTATAAAATTATTCTGAGAAATTAAACTACAATCATGTGTTAAACTTCTCAATACCACTGTAACAGTTTAAAAAATATATTCTTCTTTACTGTAAAAAATGTGAATTGTAAAAAAAAGAAGAGAGAAAAATAAGAAAGTTTCAGCCTGACCTAATCTAACTTTCCTAATGAACAGAGAGTTTGAAATCTCATTCAACTCTTGAGTCTTGCTGGAAGTAGAATTGATCATCTGTAGCAATAGTCAAAACGATAGAAAACACTGCTGCCAGATGATCAAGTCTACTTCTAGCAAGACTCAGAGTTGAATGAAATTTCAAACTTTCAAATTTAACAAAGTTGGCACTATCGTAATGGAACTCGAAAGAGGGGACAGATATTGAAACATGTTAAATGTTGCATAAGTACATGATGTTTATCAAAAGTATCATAATTCTTTTATTTTAGACATAAATTTGTTTTAAGTTATACTTTTTATAGGGTTTATTTAACAACTTTTTCAACATTACCATTATTTGAATATATAGTTAATCTATTTGACAACGACGCCAATAATATTTCAGGATTTTTTTGGTTGTTATCAAACACAAACCTACATCATGATGTGGCAATGAGCTACCTGTGCTCTGCCCACCACGGGTATTGAAACCCGATTTCTAGCGACGTAAGCCAACAGACTTAGGGTACAGGCGTTGAGGTAGGGGGGGGGGTGATAATAACGTTTCGGACAAGACTATTTGTAACTAATATTCGAATATACTAAAGTTAGTAGTATTTTTAACTTTAATATTATTAATATCAACTTTAGTAAACTTATATATTATTAATGAATATTAACAATTAATGAATTATCAACACATGGTGTAATTATTTTTGGTTTTTAAATTTAAAAAATTCTGTACACTATTATATTAAAACAAATAAAACTAACATTACAATTTGTATGAAATAAGATTTCGTTCCTAATTTTTATCAGTATAATAATATCTAATCAGACGTTATGGTTAGTTTATTAATATTATAGGAATCAGCAATGACTAAATAAACACTCACAAAACCTCAATAACCTTCTTCTGTAATAAAAGCACAAGAAAAATGAATTTCAGTTACTAACAGTGGTACAGAATGAACAAAGGAAAATATGACACGCAAAATTTAAAGGGAACGTTTGCACTTATATGATAAGTTATTTAACATAATTGATAAACTTCCTCACAAAATTAAACAATGTTATGTTTTGTTAGATTTTTAATACTATATATATATATATATATAATGTTAAGTCATACACCGATTTACTAAATAATTAAAAACATGC